CCGCCGCGGTCGCCGCGCGCCGCCGCGCCGGCGCCCCGCGCCGCGCCGCCGCCGCCGCCGCCGCCCGCCGCGCCCGTGCGGACGCCCGGGCAGTCCGCGGCCGACGTCCAGTCGGCCGCCGCGTGGCGCCACCGCGTCGCCGAGGCCCGGTCCATCACGGAGGCCGAGGCCGCCGAGGCGGCCCGCGAGCAGGAGCGGCTCCTCGCCGCGTCGTCGCGCCGCTACCAGTTCACGCTCAAGGCCAAGGCGCGGCCGCCGCCGCCGCCGCGGCCCCCGGGCGGCCCGCCGCCGCCCCACTGGCGCTCGCCGGACCCCTACGTCGTCCTCGACGTGCGCCGCGACGCGTCCCGCGCCGCGGCGCGCAAGGCCTGGCTCCGGCTCGCCCTCAAGTACCACCCGGACAAGTCCAAGTCCCACGGCACGCGCGACGCGTTCATCGCCGTCTCCAAGGCCTACCGCGCGCTCTCCGCGAGGCTCGACTGAGGCGCCTAGCTCCCCCCTTCCCCACTGTTAATCCCGGCGTTGTCTCTGGTGAGCGTGCGGCCGCGTGGCTTCTAGCCCTCGAATGTCAAGAACATGGTCAAGAACTTGAATTCATGTTGCCGAACTCAACAAGCGGGTTTGAGGCGCTCGAACGCGAGCGGGCTGCCCGTCGGCGCCGGCGTCGCGCATCGCGCCGGCCGTGTCGCGGCGGCCGCCGGACCGCGCGGTCCGCGCCCCGCCGGCGGCATGGAGTGCGTCTTCAAGATCAAGCTGAAGCGGCAGTTCGAGGCGCGGCTCTGCGTCGTCGGCTGCTTCGACGGCCACCAGCCCGCCGTGGCCTGCGCGACGGGGAGCTGCGGCCAGGTGCTGCTCTACTACCCCCACGAGCAGGGCGAGCACGGGGGCAGCGACCCGGAGATGAAGGCGCTGAACTTCAACAAGGCGCTGACGTCGCTGGGCTGCGGGCCGCTGAACGCGTCGCTCACGGCGCGCGAGGTCATCGCGCTGCGGGGCGGCGACCCGGAGGAGGCGGCGAAGCACGGCCGGGACCCGGACGCGAAGCGCGACGTGCTTTTGGTGGGCATGTCGTCGGCGCTTTTGGTCTACGACGTGGAGATGAACAGCGACGTCTTCTACAAGGAGGTGCAGGACGGCGTCAACTGCATGTGCTTCGGCACGCTCCGCGGCGTCGAGGAGCCGCTGGTCATCGTCGGCGGCAACTGCAGCGTGCTGGGCTTCGACTGGCGCGGCGCCGAGGAGTTCTGGACCGTCACGGGCGACAACGTGCGCGCCGTCGCGGCCGCGCGGCCCGGCGACGGCGAGCCGGGGTCGGAGCTGCTCGTGGGCTCCGACGACTACGAGATCCGCGTCTTCCAGCACGAGGAGGCGGTGACGGAGGCGACGGAGGCCGACCGGGTCGTCGCGCTCGCGGGCCTCGACGGCGGGCGCTTCGCGTTCGGCCTCGCCAACGGCACGATCGGCGTCTACCGGGGCGCGGAGCGCAAGTGGCGCGTCAAGTCGAAGCACGCGCTCGTGGCCCTCGCGGCCCACGACGTCACGGGCGACGGCGCCTTCGAGATCATCGCGGGCTGGAGCACGGGCGCGCTGACGGTGCGCGTCGCGAGCAACGGGTCCGTCATCTACCGCGACGGCTTCAAGGCGTCCGTCGCGGCCGTGCTCTGGGCCGATTTGCGCATGAGCGGCGCGCCCCAGGTCGTCGGCGTGTCCGTGGACGGCGAGCTGCGGGGCTACGTCGCGGTGGACGCGACGCAGGTCGGCCGCGACGACGAGGAGCGCGCGGCGCGCGAGCAGCTCGGCGCGCTGCAGGCGCGGAAGCGCGAGCTGCTGCTGGAGCTGCGGTCCCTCGAGGACACGATCCGCCACGCGTCGGGCGACGGCGGCGCGAACGCGGGCGTCATCCCCCAGGACACGCGCATCTCCATGGACATCGCGACGAACAGGGCGGGACAAGGGTGATTCAACGTCGCTTCAACGTGGGTGTTCCGCGCGCGCGCGTTTCGGAAACAGCATCCACGCTTCGAGACCGTTCCGAGAGCTGATCGCTCGTCCAAAAATCAGCCGAAACGAGCGGAAAACGACCGAGAAAGGAGCCTTTGAAGTTGGGAATTTCGCACTCTTGTCCTGCCCAGGCGACGAACCGCGACAAGTCGTCCTTCGAGTTCGTCTTCGCGACGACGAACGGCACCTTCGTGTCCTCCGTCGTCGTCCTCGACACGGACGGCGGCCTCTTCGACGGGGAGACGCTCGTGGCCATGCCCGCGCACCCGACGTCGTCGTGCGCGCTCGCGCTCTTCCCGCGGAAGAACTTCCCCGCGAACCTGAAGATCCAGATCCACGTCGGGTCGCGGCCGAGCTCGAAGGAGCTCCACGTCTTCGAGGTCGACTACGAGCTGCCCAAGTTCTGCTGCTTCCTCCGCGTCGAGGACCCGCGGCACGCGCCGCAGCCGACGAGCTACGTGCAGTTCTCGCTGCCCGTGACGCTGCCGCCCCTCGCGGAGTGGATCGAGAAGTCCTTCGTGAACATGGAGGCCGTCAAGTTCACGGGCGACTCCATCCAGGTCTACTACGTGAGCATACGGCGCCCGCCGGGCGCGGGCGCGCCGGGCGCGGCGCCCGGCGCGCCCGGCGGCGACGGTGACGCGGGCGCGCCCAAGCCCCTCTGGTTCGAGGCGCGCCAGGTCGGCGGCCAGGTCAACTGCAAGGTCTCGACGAACGAGATGGCGACGGCCGCGGAGGTCGTCCAGGACCTCGCGGCGTTCGTCGACGCGCGCGAGCTCGAGTCGGTGGCCGACTTCCCCGCGGAGATGACCGCGCTCGAGGACATCCTGAGCCGCGTCGCCAAGTTCAACGCCATCCGCATCCGGCTGACGGCGGACATGGCCGACGGGTCCGCGCGCATCAAGGCGCTCGTGCTCAAGGCCGAGGACGCGCGGCTCATGGCCGACATGCCGCTCATGAAGCGGCACTACGCGGAGCTCTTCGCGCTGAACAACGAGCTCATCGCCGAGTACAACAAGCGCGCGAACAACCACGAGGCGCTCCTCGCGGCGCTCAAGGACGTGAACCAGATCATCCAGAAGGCGTCGAACCTCCGCGCCGGCGCCGCGAAGAGCCGCGTCGTCGCGGAGGCGCGCGCGGCCATCAAGACCAACGCCATCGACTCCCTCTACCAGATCGTCTGCGAGGGCCGCTCCAAGGTCAGCCCCGCCCAGTGAGGCGGGGGTCTAAGGTCCTCGCGCGGCGCGCGCGGGCCGTCTCGCTGGATTTTCAATTCTCAAGCCTTGTGGCAAATCTCTGCCCGCCGCGCGCCGCGCGAGCACGCAGCCAGAGTTCGCGTCGGCGGAGGCGCCGCCGTTCGACGTTCGCGTCCTCGACGCGCGCCGGCACCATGGCCGGGGCCCCGCGGCACGGCGTGGGCGACATCGTCGAGGTCCTGGACAGCAGCAGCGGCTGGGTGCCCGCGCGCGTGCTCAGCGTCAACGCCAACGGGTCCTACGACGTGAGCGTGCGCCTCGAGGACACGATCCACCTCGGGGACGTGGCCGCGGTCCTGAGCCTCATGTGCAGCGGGTCCCAGTCCGCCAAGGCGTCGGCCGCGCTCCAGTTCTACACGAGCGAGAGCACGGGCGACCTCACGTTCGCGGGGCTCCGGGCCTACCTCACGTCGGTCTTCAAGGTCATCTTCGAGGCGCAGCCCGAGCGCCAGTACGCCTACTCGCGGGGCAAGGGCGAGCTGCTGAGCCCGAAGCGCATGGGCGACGCGACGGCGCGCCGCGCGTTCGGCGACCACGGCCTCGACCTCGCCGAGGAGCTGGACCTGGAGCAGTTCAAGCGCTGGTACGCCTACCACCTCGACGGCGGCAAGGACGCCGACGACGGCGAGACCGTGGGCACCGTGGAGCGCGTCCTCGACGAGGACGAGGGCGAGTGGACGGCGGGAGGGCTCGCGACGCGCGCGCTCGCGGGCGTGGACCTCGACGAGGCCTTCGAGCGCCTGAGCCGCTGGGCCGACGCGCGGGGCCGCGTGAGCCGCGGCGCCTTCGGGGCGGCGCTGGCGGACCTGGCGCACGCGGGCGACGGGTCCGCGAGCCTCGGGGCCGCGGCGTCCGTGCTCTTCGACGCGTTCGACGTCGACGGCGACGGCACGATCGACTTCGCGGAGCTCGGCGCGGGGCTCTCGGTGCTCTGCGGCGGCGACCGCGAGAACAAGGTGCGGTCGACGTTCCGCCTCTTCGACCTCGACGGCGACGGGACCATCGCGTTCGAGGAGATGGCGCGCTACCTCCTCGCGGTCTTCCGCGTCGCCTTCGCCAAGGACGACACGCTCGCGGAGCGCGTCGGCGCGTCGCCGGAGGCGCTGGCGGAGGCGACGGCGGCGGCGGCCTTCCAGGACTGCGACCTCGACGGCGACGGCAAGCTCGACTACGCGGAGTTCCGCCGGTGGTACCACGGCCAGCAGGGCTGGGCGGCCGTCGACTTCGACGCGCTCGTCACGGAGAAGGACGCCGTGCGCGAGCTCTCCACGGCGCTGCGGGGCCTCGACGCGACGAGCGTCTTCGACCGCCTCGGCTACTTCGCGGACGGCGACGGCAACCACACGCGGCAGCGGTTCTTCGCGGCGTTCGAGGCGCTCTTCGAGCCCCAGGTCGACGCGGCGGGCGACGCGGCGCTGCGGGCCGTGCTCGACAAGGCCTTCGACGCCTTCGACGCGGACCACGACGGCGTCGTCGACGCCGCGGAGCTCGCGGCGGGCCTCGGCGCGCTCTGCGGCGGGTCGCGCGTCGACAAGATCCGGCTGACCTTCGACCTCTTCGACCGCGACCGCGACGGCTACCTCGACGAGTTCGAGATCCGGGCGTACCTCGCGTCGGTCTACAAGGTGTCGACGCACGACCTCGTGAACAACGACACGGGCGAGCCCGTGTCCGCGGACGAGCTCGCGGCCGCGACGGCCGCTGCGATCCTCGAGGAGGCCGACTCCGACGGCGACGGCCGCGTGAGCTTCGACGAGTTCGCGCGCTGGGTGAGCTCGGAGCACGTCGAGGAGCTCCCGGGCGAGGAGGAGACGGAGGACGACGACTCGTACTACGACGACGACGACGACGACGACGACGACGACGGCCCGCCCGTCGCGTCGCGCGCGCCCGCGGCGCCGCCGGGCCCGCCGGCGTCCCAGGCCGTCGCCGTCGCCGAGCTCCGCGACGCGCGGCGCCTGCTGAACCTGGACCACTTCTCGCTCGACGAGCTCGTCGAGGTCGTCGTCGAGTGCGCGCCGCGGGGCACCGTGTCCGGCGAGGCCTTCAGCAAGGTCGCGCGGCGCCTCGCGACGCTGGGGGGCAACTGCCGCGACGACGCCGACGACCGCGCCGACGCCGCGCGCCTCGCGGACCGCGTCTACCGCTGCTTCGACGTCGGCGACGCGGACGACGTCGACTTTGTGGAGCTCGCGTCGGGGCTGAGCGTGCTGTCGCCCGCGGCCATGGACGAGAAGATCGAGGCGGCCTTCGCGCTCTACGACGTCGCCAAGGGCACCGTCAGCTTCGACGAGCTCCGCCTCTACCTCCTCTCCATCTACCGCGTCCTCATGGCCTGCTCCAACGACCTCCACGGCAAGATGGCCAAGGCCGGCGGGCCCGAGCAGCTCGCCCACGCGACGGCGAAGCAGTGCTTCGCCGACTACAACTTCCGGAGCGACGCCAAGATCGACTGCGCGGCCTTCAAGAACTTCATCATCCAGGGCATCGCGCGGCCCTACGAGCTGCCCTGAGGCCGCACCTCGCCGCCCGGGCGCGCCCGCAACCCCATCCCCCGACCACCCCGCGGCCACCAACGCCCCGGCTTAATACCAGTCTGGAGGCTCCTGCGCGGGCTCGTGGAACCAGCCGGCGGCCGCGACGCGCGCGCCCGCCTCCGTGGGCAGGACCTCGTGCGGCGACGCCACGGTGTCGAAGAGCACGAGCGTGCCCGCCCGCGTCGCCACGTCGACGACGTACTGGTCCGGGTCGTCGACGCACTCGACGGAGCGGTAGCCGGCCTCCGGCGTCATCGCGCCGAGCGCCGCGTGGAACGCGTCGGCGTCCAGCTCCGCGCGGCCGCCGCACGCGGCGGTCCACGCCGGCGACGCGCCGGAGAAGGGCTCCGACACGTAGCGCCGCTCGCGCCCGTCGACGACGTAGAGGCCGTAGCGCGCGTCGTCGCCGTCCCTCACGTAGGCGTCGAGGAAGACGGGGCGATTGCGCGGGAGCCAGCCGACCTGGACGTCGCCCTCGTGCGCGCCGACGTCTCCGGCGCTCTCGCGGCACCAGGCGCGGAGCTCGCCGCCGCGCTTCGCCTGTTGCAGGTAGACGAGCCAGGACACGGACCGCCGGGAGTCGTGGAGGAAGCCCGCCTCGCCCTTGCAGGCCTCGTGGCGCTCGTCCATGTGGCGCCCGAGGAACGCGCCCGGCGCGTGGATGGAATAGTACTGCTCCTCCAGCGTCAGCGGGCCCGGCGACCGCTCGGAAAGCGCGGCGCGCAGCCCCTCGAGGAGCCCGTCGAGCTCCGCGCGCGCGTGCACGTCGCCGCCGACGCTCGGGCCGAGCGTGCGGACCGCGCGGTCCTGCGCGCCGTAGCGCGACGCCGCCGCGGCCGTGTTGGACACGCCGGACTTCGAGAAGGCGCCCGCCTCCTGGAGCGCGAGCGCGTCGTCGCGCAGCGCGCGCGCGAGCCGCGGCTCGAGCCAGTCGTCCAGCACGTAGATGCCGCCGGATTTGATCGTCTTCGACGCAGCGCGCGCGTCGAAGGCCAGCGCGCGCGCCGAAGCTATGGAGCAGGCGAGCAGCCATGCTGCTTTCATCGCAATTCCTCGAGCACAGAGAGATTACGGGCGCTCATCAGACGCGCGCACATACCATACTAGTATGCGATGCGCACACTCGCGCGCGCCGCGATCGCCGCGAGCGCGTCGCCGCCGGGTGTCCATCGGCATGGCAAGTACTCATCACCAAGGTCTTGTTAGAGAACGGCAAGCATGACATTGATTTGGCCAATTGGCAGCCCGGCGCCGTCACAGAGAGCACACGAAGTCTGTCATTTCTGGCAGCTCCGCACCGGCGCGCTGGCGGCAGCATGGAGGACTGGAAGCGGCGGTGGATCCTGCGGCGGCGGCAGCTCGGCTGGATGCGCGTCATCCAACCGACGCGCTGGGATTGGATCCGCGTCTATCTCTGCGTGGTCCCGCAGTGCGCCGCGACCATGCTCTGCGTCGCCCTCGCCTACGCGCTGCGGCAGAAATTGCGGTGCCACGGCCCCGCGAGCGTCCTCATGCGCCTCGCCATCGCGTGCATGCCCGACGACAGCAGCGCCGGCGTCGTCTACGGCAAGCGGCAGGGCTGCCTCCTCGACGGCGAGTCGGGCGTGACGCAGATGATGCGCGTGGGCCTCATGATCGCCAACTACTTCGGGGACCGCGTGACGAAGACGAGCGACGCCCACGCCGTCATCGTCACGAACGGCCTGCGGGACCGGCTCGTGTCGACGATGTTCGCGCTGAAACACGCGGCGCGGACGAGGGACGAGCGGACGGGCAACGTGACCATGTACTGGGTCAACTGGGGCGAAGACGGCTACCCCGTCGACGCCTACCTGGACACGGCGAAGCTCGCGGAGGACGGCCTCACGGTCGTCCAGGTCGACCACCCCTACGACTTCAAGATCCCGGGCCACGGGTCGCTCAAGTTCGCGCTGCTGGGGCTGGAGGTGCTGGACCTCGCGACGCGCCTCGACGGGCGGCCGGACTGGTCCTTCTTCATGACGAACCCGCAGGAGGAGGACCCGGTCTCCGACGGCGACGACTTCTTCCACATCAACCTGAAGCCCGTCGTGCCGTACCTGACGGACGTCGGGCCGGCGGCCTGCGACGCCAAGTTCACGACGGGCGAGCTCCTCACGCGCAACTACGGCGCGGACCTCGCCGTGACGCACGCCGCCGCCGAGCGGCCCGAGTGGCGGATCGTCTACGACCCGAAGAGCGAGGGGCCCCTCCGCGTCGACGACGGCGCGCGCGCGATCACGCAGCAGCGCACGGACGACCTCCACGCGGACTCGCTCGCGAACCTGCGCTGCCTCGTCCAGTTCCGGACGCTCTACGTCGGCACGGCGAGCTCCTTCTGCGACGTCGTCCTCGCCTACAACATGGCCCTCCGGCGGCGCGACGCGGCCGCGCCGCGCCTGCGGA